CCCTCGTGGCTGGGCTCAGGGTGCAGCAAGGTCCAGCAAAATCCCATTTCAGGCTGCTTCGAGCTGTGCTGGGGCTGCCAACTGCTGGAAGGGGACGGGACCCAGCCAAGAGCAGCTGCCCTCAATCTCTGCCTCTGCTTCTCATGGATTTGTGTCCAGCAAAACCAGGTTTGTGTCATGAAACAAGCACTGTCCTGCTCTGCACCTCTCCTCGAGATCCCCTGTACCATTACCCTATCAGGTAACAACTCCAGCTTTTCCACTGGAGTTTAAAAACTATGTTTAAAACTCTAGAAAGAGAAATTTTAATACTCTTATTTTATGACATCTCTTCTTAGAGAATATCCCCAAAATCTGAGGCACCATATACCACATTTGTTTTGCTTATGAAGCAAATCTTCAGAAAATTCTTGAAACTCTTTGATTTTTATCCTGTACTTCACCAAAGTTCTAGACACACTGCTCTAGAAGACAGCACTATTTTTGAGAATCATTATTTCTACGTTTCAAAGATTGTATACAACATGTTGCCTCTGGCTTCGTCTGATTCCAGTAGCTCTGGGGGAAACCCAACCTGAAAAAAGCAGACCTGAAAAATACAGCACAAAATACCATTGGCTCCCAGCAAACAGTTAATTTCTTTCCCTTTATGATTCTCCCAGTACATGTGCTATTTCCCTTCAAACAGATACAAACTCCTGGGCCATGCCAGAAGCTGCAGATGCACCGCAGTGCACCCTTTGCAAGTGCCAACCAAGGAGAAGATATGGGTGATTTTCTTTTTCAGAGGGAATAACTCTACAATGAGAGGTGTTTTTTTTTTAAAGAGCTGTAATGATGGCTACAAGGATTCATTGCATTGTTTTTACATTGCAGGCTCAAACAACTGATAACATCCAATTGTGTTTGCTGGAAATACTGGTGTCCCAAATGTGCTATACCACTCCTTACCCACTTTGTACCTCACAGGAGGTATACCTTTAGTAAAACTATGGGGCTTTTATATTATTGTTGTGCCCAACCATAGCCTTTCCACTTCCAAATTGCTTGTTCTCCACCCACATGGTATGAAATATTTATTCAAACGCATAAAGATGAGTTAAGTTCGGACTTCTGACTGACTACAGATCGATATTCTCTAGCTTATTAGGCATTGATCTCAAAAAATTTGCGAAGAAAAACATGTAAGAAGAGGAGAAAAACACAGAAGAAATCTGTACCTGGAATTGGGAAAGGGGACAAGTAGTCATTTAGTCTTTCTGCATAATTTGTCCCTTATTACCTCCATACAATCTTAAATACATTTCCAGAGCACAGAGATAATTTTCATCCAGGGAGAAACAGTTTGAAGAATGACCTCTGATTCTGTGGGGAAAAATTCCTACTTATAATTTACTTAATTGATTGCATTTTCATATATAGATGCAAATACGTTAGGGCTATTTATTTTCCATCACTTCTATTGCTGTTTGATATTTGGAAAAGTCCCCCTGGGAGATGAACAGCACCAAGCTCGAGTGTGCTGCCATCATATTAGGTGATTAATCAGAAGTTCTGGGATGAAGAGGAAGACTTCCACAAACAGAAATTACACCTCTTTGTTCCCGCAGTGACAGAAGCCTCTTGAGGAATGGCTGATGCAGGGGACTGAGCTGTGGGACTCAGCCTTCTTCACCCACCAGGCAGCACAACCCACCCGTTCTGAGCGGCTGCGAGAGGAAGGTCACTCCGAGCCTCAGCTTTAATGCTCAGCCACATTTATCAAACCCACAGCATTTCGAGGAACACAGGCAGGGTTTGTTTTCTTTCACCCTGAGTGAATACAGCAGTTCAGAGAGCTCCTCGTGCACTTCCAGGTACTTAAGATGTGCTGAATAAAATCACAGAGATCCTTTTAAAGTCCTGGAGTGGTCTTAAAATCTGCATTCCGAGATTTTTGACCACCATCATCTAATAGTAATTCTCTCATTACTATATTACGTAAAAGCAATTCTGCCTTTGTTACATTTCTCCCTGTATTGAGCTTATACTGAGAACATTTTTAAGCAGACCTGCATTTGGTTTTGGTTTTCTTTTTTTCTTTTTTCTTAGTCTAGCCTTTCAAAGCAAAGCAGAGAGTTCATTTATGTCTATTACCACTGACTGCTTGCAAGTTGCTTTTCCAGGAGTACTTCATAAAGGCTACAGCTATTGCTCTCTAAACCATAGTGTCAAAGCTGACAACAAGAATGCACTAACAGAGGAAGTGAAGCTCTTGAGACACTGAACTCCTTCAAGCCCTAGGAAATAAAGTTAGTTTTGCCCTACTCCTATGCTTTCTTTCTGGGCTGCTCAGAAGGACCTCACACTATCTCAAAGTGGTGTGCAGAGCTGTAAGACACAACAAATCAAACCACAACCAACACCTGACAGCACAAGGCCCCCCCATCCAAAGGAGGAAATCCACATAATAATAATAAATCTTCCAGTTTAAATCCTGTGAATTTTCTGCGCTTTTCAATTGACAGAAAGAAAAAGATAATCTCCTGCAATAGAATTGAAGTACAGGAGCTGTTAGGAACATTTTCTCTGATAAACCCTCCCATGGCTTAGATGGTGTGATAACAGGGAGCACAATTAGGATTAAATGTGGCTTTTCAGAAAAGCTGGGATGAACTCAAGTTTAGGCAGAGCTTTCATCCATTTGATCATATAGAAGGCACTCTCAGGTGCTGGGATCACTGACACCAAACTGGCTGCACATGCTTACAACTGTCCTTCAGTTCTCAGAAACTTTTCCTAGCAAGTACTTCCCCATCCATTTTTATAGAAAGGTTTCATTGAAGGGAAAAAGAGAAAAATAGGGTGCAACATCCTAAGATAGATTATTAGTTCCTCTCTCCCTTACTGAACTGCTGGAAAGCTTCTGCCACTGAGGTAGGAAGTCTTGAGACAAAATCAGAGCATTCAACAGCAGCATCTGCAAATGGCTCCATCAGGCTTATTGAATTATGTTACCCAAAAAAAGCACTTGGTATGAAGTTCCTTGAAAACAGCAAATCACAGCGAGCCTGTGCTGCAGCATATGCTGCCTGCCACCTTTTACACCCAAAATACAGGAAGAGGAATTTGTTTCCTTCATAACACCAGTAGAAGTCACCACAAAAAAAACACTCAGGGAGAGTTAAACTCGATTTAACATTTTAATCTCAGGAATCAATAGTCTTATTTGCCAGTAACATTACAGGAAATTATTACTTTGACCAAACCAGCACCCACACAATTTTTTTGCTACTGGAAAACTAAAAACGTTTTTCTGATTTCCTGCCAAGGAGATTAAAGTTGTGGAGGCCTTACAGAGGAAGAGGGTGGCTTGTTGTGCTTCACCAAGCACATCCACAAAGCCACCTGCAAACACACACAAAAGACAGAGAGGCAGGATCTGCCGTGCTCTGTCAGATGCTGGTGCAGTGCCCACCATTTCCCTTCTAAAGCCACCAGAAAACAAGAACTGCCCTGTGAAACACTGCAAACAAGCCTCTGTTCCATCTCACACCTGACCTCCGTTTCGAAATCAAATTTTCATCAATCCTGAATGGAGGGATGAGGACTGCAGCCCTCAGGTTCTCATTATTTCCAAGTGCTTCAGAGCACTTATAAATTAATAAATAACAACTCTAAGTGAGGTCAAGTGGGGAAGACTCTGCCCATCACTTCTTTTTTCCTGCCGTCCATTAAGGACCTGCTGCTGTGTGAACATAACACCTGAAAAATCAGTTCCAGCTCTATTTTAACTAAAAACTCATAGTAAGTTGCTGTAGGATGCAATGAAGCTACCTGCTAATTTCTTATCTAGCATGTATATCTTTCCCTCCAGATTCTCATGGTTTGCCATTGCTGCTGATGTCCACGTCTCCATGGTTCTCAAAACTAAATCTAACACTCACGCTGACAGTGTAAATTATGGGCTAAATAAATATACCAGCGAGAGAGGGAGGGAAGTGCTTCAGAAGATGGGCTGATAGAAAGAAAAGCAAATTATCTTACATAATACAGATATAAAACATGTGTAGCAACTCATCTACATTCACCCTGAGCAGAATTACAAGACAAAGGGAGATTCAATTAGAATGAAAAGCAATCAATCCAGATACACAACCGTATGATTTCACCAGATTGAAAAAAAAAGGATTCAGAATAATTACCAGTGAAGAGGACTAAGTATAAATTTCCTGTACAGCTATTACATGTCTTTACATTATCATTACATATCTCTTCAGTGGAGTCAAGATACATTGTCTTTCCCTCTGAATTACATAGATTTGACCCCTCTCCAGACCAGGATGTTGCCAGGGGATGCACTGCCTTTCTCACTATGTGGAAGCACTGCTTTTATCTTCGCAGAGTAGGGCACACAACTTGGAAGTGCAGTGATAAAATGAGGTGGTAAAAATGTAAATACCAATGTTTTAAAGCTAACACATATCTTATTGTGATCTTAGCCAGAATTGTTTCATTACCACAGTTGGTTTTTGAGGGTTTTTTTTTATGCAGTGCATTTAAATAAAATTTTCCTAGCTAATTTCAGAACTGTATCTGCACAAATTTAAGTAAATCATAACCTATTTCAGAACTGTATCTGCACTATATGGAGGTTTACCGAAGAGTATGTCAAGTTTCTTGTGCACATCTGTTGCAACAAATGTTTCCCAGTAAGTCGTGTCTTAGTTATACCTCAGTATTTATGTGCAAAATTAAATTGATAAGGAAATGATATATTTACACTTATAATCATATTATTTGCCATTCCCTGTTCCTCTTCACACTTAAAGTATTCAAATTTCTCTTTCTTCCCATCTCAGAATTGTTGACTGTAGAATCTCCATTGTTTCTAAGAAAATGGTCAATTTTGCTTCCCAGAACCTGAAACTGGGGACAATACAACTCTGATTGTCTGAAGGACATGATTTTTCATTATTCTACATGAAACTAAGTCAAAGTAGTGAGCAGATTCCTCTTACCTGTTTGTGAGCGTGATCATAGGAGTTAATGTGATTGTCAAACTCCTGGTGTTTATAGTACTGCTTGTCACAGAGTTCACAGTAGAAGTTGGCTTTAAGATCTTCCAGGGCTTTTGCTATCTTGTTTTTCTTTTCAGCATAATCCTGGAGAGGGGGTGGGAAAAAGTAATTTTAGTTTCGTCTTTGATGCTGCAAATGGATTTTGTGCTCTGCAGTTAATCATATTTGTAAACATTTACACACCTCCGTAACTAAAAGCCTTCCCATATTTGCTGTGTTACACTGCACATATTTGCTGGATCTGCAGCAAGGCTGAAGATTTGCACACTTTAATTTGCTCTACAGTTGCCAGCTCCCCTTCGGGGCTCTGTCAGAGGCCAGAAGGATTTCCCCGGGTCTGTCTAAATACAAATATTTATCACACTGAAGGCTGTTTTCAAGTTAATTTCTATCCAAACCTCACTGCTCAGTATTATACCCAAGCAGAATGAATATGAAGATACAAATGGCAATAACTTAGTTATCAAGCTTTTGCAAGAAAGTCTGCTTACCAAAAAGAAAATAAAATTAAAGAAACTCTACTGGGTTCTCTTGAACACCCATACACATGAAACACGGGGAACACCCTCATAGCTGAGATGTAACAAGTATCTTCCTCACTTTCTATTTGTCATCCCATATTAGAAGGGCACATCTCTGTTTACCAGACATTAGCAAAAGCATCACATAAAACCGTGCTTATCATTTATGAGCAAATTATAGACAAGTAATAATATTTATTAATTTCCTAAATGCAGTGACAATAACATGGCCTGTTCTGGAAGAGCATGGAAATGGTCTGTCATCTCAGATTAGTTTAGTACCAGTTAAACGCTGAGCATGTACAACCTCGGTGCAATGACTCCTGCTTTTGACAAGTCTGTCTGGGATAGAAGCTCTGCCCAAAATCCCAAACACATCAAATATTGCTTAAGAAAATGCAGCCCTCAGATTTGCTTCATGAAGTTTCATCCCTGTGAGTTCTTTGGAAGTGACCCCTAAATTCCCTTTCTTTCTGTCTTGCTCCTCAATCAGTTAGATTAAAATAAAAGTTGATATTGTTATCAGAATGCCCAAAACTGAGTTAATTTGCGGGAAAAGTCCCTAATTGCTCTCACTTTTCACAACTGACAACTCCTACTTGGGGACTTTAAAATGGAAAATTTATGGTTATTAGATCAGAATATTTTCATAGCAGTGATGTTTATCTTCTAAAAGAAAGAGAGGAATAGTAGTCATAGAATTATAATTATACCCACAAAGTACTTATTCTTCAAAATAATACTTTAACTTTATAATTCAGCCTGATTGGACTGCAAACGCTGTTGATTCATACCCAAACTGAGGTATTCCCTCACCAAAACTTTGCCCATTAAAAGAATTGCAAAAGTCATTTCAGAGTCGTGTTTTGAATACTGGTTGACTAATGAGGAATTCACACTTTCTTAACACTTTTGTAAAATTATATTTCATAAAGTATGTTTGCTTTAAAGCCAAAATGAGTTAGCATTTTATTTCAAGATACAGCAGTATTTAACACTTGGAAATACATTTATGCAGTATTGGAACTTATCCTGGAAATTTTGCAGTTAGTTTTTGGTATTAACTAGTAAAAACTACAGGTTTGGAACCACTTCAATTATTACCAAGATGCCTGTGTTTATAGACTCACAGAATATGCTGAGTTGGAAGGGACCCACAAGGATCATCAAGTCCAGCTCTTAGCCCTGCACAGGACCAGCCCCAAGAGTCACACCATGTGCCTGAGAGAGTCATCCAAATGCTGCTTGAACTCTGTCAGACTTGGTGCTGTGCCCACTGCCCTGGGGAGCCTGTTCAGTGCCCAACCACCCTCTGGGGGAGGAACCTTTTTCCATTATCCAACCTAAACCTCCCCTGACACAACTTCAGGCCATCCCCTCAGGTCATGTCACTGATTACCACAGAGCAGAGATCAGTGCCTGCCCCTCATGAGGAAGTTGTAACTGCGATGAGGTCTCCCATCATCTCCTCTTCTCCACCTGAACAGACCAAGTGCCCTCAGTCGCTCCTCATACAGCTTCACCTCAAAGCCCTTCACCATCTTTGTTGCCCTCCTTTGGATGCTCTCTAATAGCTGAATATCTTTCTTACATTGCAGTGCCCAGAACTGTCACAATATTCAGGTGAGGCCACCCCAGTGCAGAGCAGAGCAGGACAATCCCCATCCTCCACCGCCTGGTGATGCTTTGCCTTATGCCCCCCAGGACATGGTTGGCCCTCCTGGCTGCCAGGGCACTGCTGACTCAGATTCAACTTCCTTGTAGTCTATAAAGGGATGATTCCTAATTTTGCTTTTTTAAACGACAAAAAAGAAAAATCTGAATTTTTGGGAATTATCAGAACTCTGAAATATCACATATATGACATCTGTGAAGGACGGGAGGCAACATGATGGGTTCTAAGACAAGAACAGCGAATAAATAATAATTCTTTATAAAGATCTCACATCATGCTCTTGATTAACCCTTGAGCAAACTTTTGCAAGGCTTACTAATGTTGTGTAATACCTTACATAACTTCATTGGGGGTGTTCTTGACATGAAGCACCATTTTTGAAACAATATACATATTATATAGTGTAATCTAACCTGAATGCAAGTATATTTGACATACCAATGCACCCCAAGAAGCAGGGACACTGGAACCCCATGAACACCTTTGCTGCAAAGTACCAAAATCTCTTCAGGATTTTGGGGTTTCTATCCCTAAATTACTTCAGTTAGGGTTCTTTTGGGGGACAGGGTTAAATTTATATTACAATATTTCATCATTGTAGCAAAGGCAAGTAAAGAATGGCAACACATCATCTAAATCAGATGTGAGTAAGTAGGTGGAAAAGAATAATGGAGTTCAATCAAGGGGAAAAATGGAACTTTTAAATGATAAGAACCAAAAACTTTTGGGAACATATGAATGGCTGCATTGGATCAGGTCAATCTTATATACCTGTGTAAGATTTTATTCTGTACAAGGAAAATGACTCTTAACTGAGCACCATTCCCTTTGCTTTGTTAGGTGCATTCTGCTAGTTTCAGGTCATAAACACTCATTTTTTATTCCCTTTGACTAGGTCACTCCTAATCATATATATCCCCTATCATGCTGTCTCTGAGATATTGTTCTCTGAATGACATAGTTCTGGCTTATTCTGTCATTCCTTATATCAGGGCCACTCACCACCTCTGCTTGTTCTTTTCACAGCCTCCAAAAAAGGCATGAGAACATGTTACACCACGGTGTCATGCTGGACTATATTAATAGTCTCTGTTTTCTACCCTCCTCCTTTTTAAATTTTTTTAAAATCATGATAAACCACTAAACCAACACGTTTATACAACTCCTTCATCACCTGCATCCTTTACTGCTGTATAATATTTTACTGGCAGGAGATGTTTCTATCCAGCTGCTAAACTTCACCTGACTTCCCCAAATTCCCATTTCTCCAGCGGCAGCAATGGCCATTAACAAACCTGAAGACTCCAGCTTACGTGTTTCAGAGGTACACACAAAAATTCCCTAAAGAAAACCCTTCATGGAGGGTGTTCAGGAGATCCCCCCGGGCTGAGTCAACTGTTCCTGCTACTGGTTGGCATTGGGAGCCCAGTAAAGTCCAATTTCAAGGATGAATGGAGAATGGAAACAGGAGAATACAGGCTGCTGGTTCTCTGCCTGCTCTGTTATTTCTATTGATTTCTCGAGCTCTGTCAATTTGGATGAGGGATAACTGCCCAAACACTGGCAGTAAAAAATTACAGTCCTTGGACCTTGAGAGCAGCAGGCAACACACTGCAGACAGAAATAACCTGGAAACTTATTGGAAAGAAGTATTCCTGGAGAAAAGCAGCAGCCAAAAAACTCACTTAAACTGTTTAAATACCATCAAGCTTAGTTTCATTCTCATCAAGATTTGCAAACGGTCCTGGAAGTTTTAAAAGAACTTTGAATTATGATTCAGCCTGGTAATGAGACTAAGAACTGAGTGTCACTTAGTTTCATTACTTTTTTTTCCTGAAAGGCTTATTATCTGAAAGCCTACAGCTATAATTCACTGTAGCTATTTTTCATAATTTATATGAAATATGTCTAGTAAGTGATCCCACCTATCAGCTGGCTTTATTTCTCTAAATCCATCTTCTCCATCCTCCAAAGCCTTAAGCCTGGGCAAATGCTACTGCAAACATCTGATAAATTGGATTAAGAGCGGGCTCCATCCACAGAGGGGCTACCTGTCACTAACCAGACTGGATTTTCTACTCCCATTATGTGAGAGAGAAAGAAAGAAGGAACATTAAACTCTTTACACAGATTACTTTGGAGAGCTGACGGGATGCCTCAGTCTAGGGGATATTTTTGTGGAGTGCACTTCAGCCTCATACTTCTACTGTCTGCAGAAAGGTCAGCTAGACAAAAAAAAAAAAAAAAACCCTGAAGAATGTGAAATTATAATACATTATCTACTCCATGGTGAGTGCTAATGTGAATATTCTTACTTTACAATAAATGTGAGCTCCTTTTATTGCAGTAAGCTATTCTGCATTTACTGTAGGCTTAAAAGGGTCAGGCCTGCAGTCACTGCAAAGCAAAATGTATTACAGAAATAAACCCCTTCTTCAGGATAATTTACTGGTATAGTCATCCCAGTGAGGATTAGACTGCTCTGGTCTGATCTCTCGATTAGAGCCCATTAGACCTGGCAGATGTTCCAGTGTAACCTTGTTTCACAAAAAATATTTAAAGCTATTTTTTTTCCTGTCCCAATAACTAATATAAAAAAGCAAAAATGTATTTTGAATATTTTCAAACAAATAAAACTAATACTCTCAATTTGGTAAAAAAAAATATACTAGCTATATTAATATGAAAGAACCAGCCTTTAAAAAAAAAAAAAAGAAAAAAAAAAAGAAAGAAAGAAAGAAAAAAAAAATCATCCACAACTTAAGAGCACACTTCCCTATAGTCAGTTAACTGTGGTATCCATGGGCACAAATTAACAACAGATTCCTTAATTTCTGTTATATTTACTTGGTATTTTAAAGACAGTACAAAGAAGCAGACTTTGTGGA